ACTATAAATTTTTTTTATGAGAATCACTTCTTAAGAACTCTAAAATTGCGTGTGTCCTAGGTTGAATCAACGTCCACTTCTGATGCGTTCTTCATAGTATCAAAGCATATATGTAAAAACGAAGAAAAGAGAGATTAAAACGAAATGGAAGAAAACAATTAATCCATCAAGTGAAAAAAGTAAACAAATCAGACATTAACTTCAAATGGTGCAATGCCACATTTCATTTTGCAACCCGTAAAGTGGAAACATACATAGTAAACAAAGAAAAACATTTTAAAACATATTTGATGATGAATTTTATGTGTACATTCTCTTCTGAAATAAATAGAATTAAGTGACTGCAAGTCAATATGGTTCATAACGACAAAACATCGGACCCACTGTTGCATCCTCTCCTTAACAGGAAAGAGGCGAGGAAAAAGATCATTAGAGAGCACAAGTTTTATATTTTGGGACCTAAGTGATTCATACAACTATATTAAATATTTATATATAAAAAATCAGATATAGTTTATAAGCTACCTGAATTCTTCACATAAACTTGAATTACATCTCGAATTACTCTGCAACATAAAGAATTTGATTAAAAACAATGAGAAAGCAAGAAAATAAAAAAAGAGAGCAAAGAAACGAAGGTGAAAATATGGAGTATTGAAGATGAATGATAAACCGATTTTATTTTGTCCAAAAAAAAAAACTGATTTTATAAAATTTTAACCAACTCGTGATATAAGGAGAGAAATCATTCAAAGATTGTAAATTGAGCAATATTCGCAAGGAATAAACTTGCAAATCAAGATCAGATCTTAACTAAATTTTTAAAAATATAATCCATATACTCACTATTTTGATACTTAAAAAAACTGTTTTGATTTTCTATTATTTTATTAACAAATCGGATATTATTGAGGTAGCTATTTGAAATATTTTATGTTAATATAAACATATATTATCTTAACTTGAGAATTGAAGTTTGGTCCACGTTTGCAAAATTTTTTTATAAGTATGTTTGTATTTAATGCATTAATATATTGTGAACTATTTGGGAAAGAATGAAAAGTTTGTAAATAGAT